GGAGGTGTTCAAGAAATGTTTCTCAGATATTACCAGGGTAAGAATCCAAAGGAACTCAAAGCTTCATTGTTTCACCACTCCCTGTGACATTCATAATTACTTCTAGCATCATCCACCTTACAAATAAATACAATTCTTTTTCTGGGCAGCCATAATTGTATGCTATCCATCAAATAATAAAACCTCGAGAGCTGAGATGTTTAGCCTGGAGATAAAGTGATATATTAACTTCTTGATCAAATGCCAGAGCTTACAGATGAAAATGAAACAGACATCAATAATTACAGCTTGTACTGTAGTTGGTTTCTAAAGCTCCAGGTTCAATGAACAAGTAATAACTGGACAGACACACCCTGAGGAATGAGAGGTGGGAAAGGATTACCTCATTCCAGACCTGTAACTGAGCAAGCCCCTCACGGCAATTTAACAAGAGGTGGCCCACAAACTCAGGAGGTGGCAGGCAACAATTTGCTAAGACATAGGGAGAAACCTGGCAAAGGAGCATTTAGGAGTGGGAGCACTGCCCCCCAAACTTTCCTTTCATTCCTGAATATTATCACCCTAATAAGTCTGATCTGAATGCAAAAAGACATAAACACCCAATGCTTGAAAATGCCATCTCACTTGGAAAATTTTATTGCTTTTTTTCCTTGAATTTAAAAAGGGATTACTAATACCAATAAAACGTAATTATGTCTCAGTTAATTCTTAATTTTACAAGCAGATCTCAAAACATAAGGCATTTTGTGGCATTTCATAAACTGTCCCACCAGAGTCAGTAGCTGGGTTCCAAAGAACAGATTCGCCAAAGCCAGCAGGGAAGAAGCTACACAGGGGGCACTGCTACAGCTCAAGACGACCCGGCAACAGCAATACCCACCTGCACAGCATTTACCAGTGAGCAGAAGGTAGAGATGGCAAAGAGGCAACATACTTCATTCCGACCCCCAGAGCAAAGGGCAGTGACTAAGCTTCTTGATGGCTACCACAACCTGCCACGCTGCCTTGTTCTTCACTGAGGTCAAGGGTCCCTTCCCTAGTCAGTCTGCTGATTACTGCCACAATGCAAACATGTATGTGAGCAAAATTTCCTTTCGAGGTGGGCGGTATGGAGAAGAAATACAACAATGCAGACTAGAGAATGCAGCTCTGTGTATTTATCAAAACGTGGAAAATGGTTATATTTACTTTAGTATTTTGTAAGGTCAAAAGCATATATGCTCAAGGCTCAGGGAACTTTATAGAAAAGGGAGGTCAAACAGAGAAAGAGCCAGAAGATGGGGAACAGTGCTATAACATGCTATCTTCTAGACTTGAAGGCCAGTGCACATATGAACCCATGAGGCCTGCACACGATCAAGCCAGTCAACATTTCAACATAGACGGGAAGGAATTCATTAGGCCCCACCCCTAGCTGAAGGGCTTTTGGCAGGTGAGGCTGCTGAATGAGGACACTTCTTTGGGGTAGTGATTATTTGTAGGTTACCCATGCTTTGGTGGAAGGAACCAAACTCATATGTGTTTACACAGCACTAATAAGACTCAGTAGGTTATCATCATCATCATCATCATCACATTTATGTATTTGAAGGTAAGGGGGACATGCTGGAGAATGGGAGGTGAGAGTTGGGGTAGATATGATCAAGGTATGTTGTATATACATATGAAACTGTCAAAGAACAAAAATAATCTTTAAATCACAAAAAGGTACACATACACATTAATAAAATGACTCAATATATCACTGTGCTTGCTAGCATAAAGTTAATGAGTCTGAAAACTAAAGACATGTTCTGATTAATTCATAATAAAAGTATATCAAGTGACCCTAGGAGATGGCTCAGTGTTGCAAGTTAGAGGCCTGGAGTTCAGAACCCAAGAATGCACGTAAAAGTTGGGCAGTCACAGTAGCCTTCTATAATCCTAGCACCCAGGGAGTAGAGATAGGTCCTCAGTCAAGCTGACTAACTGACTCACACTCACACACACACACATACAGAATGGGGAAAAGCACATAAAATGTGCTGCCCTGAGTTTATAAAGACCCAACTCTACAGCATACTTTCAGGCCTGATACCAGGTTAGAAGGCACTGATGCCATGAACACTAATTTACATTGTTTTCTGGAAAAAGATGTTCATGTGTACATTTTGTCTAAATATTGCTATTTATTTTATCAAAGTCAGAGCTAAGACTCTACTAGAGTGTAAATTTTAAGCCAATGAATAAACAGCTGGCTTTAAAAAAATATTAAATTGACATGCAAAGTGTTTTTACAACCACGCCAGAGACTAAAAATAAAGCCAACTTCTGCCAACACACAAAAAAACTTGAATTGTATCAAGAGGTTCTGAATTTGATGACCACATTCAAAATGGCACTGGACATATCATTTTATTTTCCCAAACTTTATTACTGTTTTAAAAAACAAAAACAAAAAATCCCACACACAACTGCCATCTGATTGAAACATCAGCCTTATATGATGTATTTCGTTATTAAGATATAGATTTCCAAACGTATAGCATTAATCTTTCCCTAACTAAGTGAATGTAGACATTTTGAAAGTAATGCATTCATGTTTTAAGCATTTTAATTTCTTGGGCTAGGGAGATGACTCAGGGGTAACAGTACTTGCTGCACAGCAGGAGAACCTGCGCTTGGTCCTGCAAAGCTCATATAAGAAGCAGGGCATGGTCATCTGCAGGTCCACCACCCCAGTGCTGCAGGGTACATAGGCAAGAACAAGGCTTGATGGGCTCCAGCCTCACTCAAGGTTCAACGAGGCCCCAGCTCAAATGAGGTGAAAAGTTCTGAAGATCACTCAGGTGTGCACCAGCACGCACAGGCACACAGACACAGACACACAGAGACAGACAGACAGACACACACACACAGATAGACACACACAGAGACAGACAGACACACAGAGACAGACAGACAGACAGACACACACACACAAAGACAGACACACACAGAGACAGACAGACAGACAGAGACAGACACACAGAGAGAGAGAGACAGACACACACAGACACACACAGAGACAGACAGACAGACAGACACACACAGATAGACACACACAGAGACAGACAGACACACAGAGACAGACAGACAGACACACATACACAAAGACAGACACACACAGAGACAGACAGACAGACACACATACAGAGAGAGACAGACAGACAGACACACACACAGAGACACAGACAGACAGACACACACAGAGACAGAGAGACAAGACAGACAGACAGACACACAGACACACGGACTCAACTTTCTCAATGGTTGTTAATAACCTAAGTTACTAGAGGACTTCAAAGATGGCTTAGACAAAAGGTGTAAGCGGTATCAGATTTTAAGTGTGAGGTTTACAGCTGTTACCAAAGTTCCAGTGACATTTTATTTCTGTCCAAGGCCTGCCCCTCCTTTATCTGCCTACCCAAAATTACAGTGTTCGAGATTTATGGTCAGTTGCAAAAAAAATCAGAGCTTAACTGCTGATTTATAGTCTTGGCTGAGGTATTTAACTGTCATCAGAACTAATTATAGCAAGCTTGAGATTGCACATTCAAACTCTCCTTTTGGTGAGAGAAACAGAACAGCTCTGCTGAAATCAGAGACACCCCGAGGGCTCCTAAACAAGAATGCACTACCAGCTCTACTTCGCAAAATCAGTGCAGTAAAAGCTCAAAAGTACTCCTCTTTAGTAAGTTGTTCTGGCCTCAAGTACTTAGACAATAAATCATGTTACATTAATTCCATACCAATGGCCTCAAACACACTAATCTCACTCAACGGTAACTGACAATCACATTACTAATCTAATTCAAGCACTCTGGAGGTAGTAAATGAACAAGTTGAAGCTTCAGGAACCACAGTTATTAACTGGCCCAAAAAGAACCCTTACTTCAAATGTGGCCACGACTACACCCCTTGGGCAACACTGATATTCTAGGAATCATGCTACCGTTTTATTGCTCTAATGGATAAAGTTATCTAAGTTAAATTACAGATCCCAAATAAAACTAATACCAAATAAGAGACCAGCAGATACAAGCAAAAGCACTGTCTGATAGACATAAGAACGGGGGCAGGGGTGAGGGGGGTGGGGTGGGGTGGGAGGTGCTCAGTTAGAGCACTGGCTGCTATTGCAGAGGATCCGGGCACCCACGTGGTATCTCACACAACTACCTACAACTCTAGTTCCAGGGGCTATGACACCTCTTTTTGCCCTTCATAGGTTATCAGGCATGCACATGAGACACACATGCAGGCAAAACACCCATACACATATATGGAAATCAATGTATCTTAAAAAACAGAACAAATGGCCCAGAGAGGTAAACTGCTGGCCCAGGTGTAGGTGAGGGGGACTTTGCTGATCAGACTGAACGAGAGGCTCCATAGTCTGACCCTAATGGAAAGCAAGATGCCAAGTCCTGAGAAGGAAAATCTCTAACAAAAATCATTAGACCTAAGTGAATGTAAGGAAACAGAAAATTAAGGTGGAGGCCCAAGGACAACACATGTTCTGAGGCCTTACATACAAAACTATCCATTCTAGGAACTTTCTCAAAGATAATCCATCTCATGTATAGTGGGTGGAGAAAATAGCTCTATACTGTTAAGCATACATTCACTCATTAGGAGTCTGAAGTAGGTTACTGTAAGTAAACAGTACTCAGGAACATTTTAAAGTTATGAAGACAAGTCAGTGGTTATCCAATCTCTTAAATCTTGCTTTTTTGTACACTGGTTTTTCCCAATTAAATGGAAATAAGATTGGACATTTGAACTCTTTTTTGTTTGTTTGTTTGGTTTGTTTGTTTTTGAGACAGGGTTTCTTTGTATAGCCTTGGCTGTCCTGGGACTTACTCTGTAGACCAGGCTGGCTGAGAACTCACAGAGATCCACCTACCTCTGCCTCCAAGTATTGGGATTAAAGGTGTGCACCACTACCACCTGGCAACACTTGAACGACATTTGGCAACAAATTATTCACTTATTCTTTATATAAAGCAAATTTACATATCACCATAAGTTAATAAAACTGTTACTGCTAAATCTAAAAATAATGTAATTATAATCATGACTCATTTTCCACAGTATCCACATGTAGTCTTGCCAGTTATCAAATGACTTTTGAAAGCCTCTTCCCACTAGGACTGTAAAACACATACTTAAGGACAATGACTTCCCAGGTATTAACTCTCTTTTTAGCCTCATTAATTCATTCTATTTAAGCAGTAGTGGGGGAAGAGGTAAAAACAAATGAGCTGTTAGACAATCCAAAGTTATGATATCCCGAGTTACAACTATCTGTTAGCACAATCATAATTTAAAGAATGACATGGTTGAGAAATATTTAGAAAGATGTTTTCTAGGCAAAGCTGAACTTAAATCATTCTCCAGATACATCATGTCCACTTTTTACTGTAATTACTTCCATTGACATTACACAAAATTAACCAATTCCTTTAACTAGGTGACAACAAAACATTAATTCTACTGCCTCCAAAAAGAATCAATAATTATTTTTATAGCATTAAAGTAATTTAAAGTCATTTGTAAAGTTAGCAACAATTGAGAATTTTTCTATTTATGACTAATCCATTATAAACAAAAGCCAATATGAAAAACACAATTCTAGAAAAAGTGCAGCCATACTAAGACTAGATAAGGGAATATAAGGACCTCACAGGCTATGCTAGACCAAACAGATGAAACACAAACTTGATTTTAAACTGCAGGCTTATACAAATAAAACCCTATCCTTTTTTCTTATACAAATGCTTAAAATTTCTCACATAAATATAAAAATGTTAATTTCCTTCACAGACTTCTTAGAAAAAAAGATTGAAAAGAGTTTATAATCAGTTCCCAAGTCTTAGGCTTATCTTTTTCCAGCCCTAGCAATTTTTTGACATTTTTTAACCTAGGCAGGAAACTCTTTTTGGTAAATGAAGCATGATAGTCTATCAATAAACGTCCTGAAGAACTCTGTAAGGCTACATATATCCCATGTTGCTTTTAGTTTCCCATCTCTTCTTTGCTTCAAACCTAAAACAAAGAGCATAAAAATCTCAATTCATTTCTAAAACAAAATATTCTACTAAAATAACATGCTTAGTAAGTGACCAACATGCTATAAATTCACAAACACCAGAGGCTGAGGAAATGCCTCTATATTTATAACCTCATAACCATTCCACTGAGACATAAAACATTAGATAAGTGGCCTACATATTGGATTCAATGGACAAGCATACTTTCTGCAATTCCTACCAAGTAAATAGAATCATGATTCTTTTTCCCCCGATTTTTAAACATTATTATTATTGTATATGTCTGAGTGTTTTGCCTGCACGTATGTCTGCTTCTGTGGTGGTCCCCACAGAAACCAGAAGAGGGCATCGAATCCCCTGGAATCACATAGTTGTGAGCCACCATGTGTGTGCTTGGAATAGAGTCCCAGTCTCTCTTCCATGCCAGGACAGAGGTCTTAAGTGAACTTACCCCCACGCCAGTTTCTTCTTCTTTCGAGCAGCTTGTGAGTTTTCAGCCTCCCTTTTGGCTTTAACAAACTTGTGGCAGGCAATTGCTTGGGCAATTTTTACACCGAGCTAAGAATTATGAAAAAAAAAAAAGGGAAAAAATATGTGAAAAGAAATATTCCAGCTAATATAAGAATTATAATAGTACAAAAAACTGGGAGCACATGGTTCAGGAACTGTGCCTAAAAAATAAAGAAACCCTTGAACAAAGCATAGCAAATACACAGATATGGCCTGTATTTCCCTCCACTACTCAAAGATCCTCTGCTCAAATGGCACCATCTCCTGGATGGGAACCCTTCCCAAACTCAGATCCCTCTGAGGCCCACAAAGGTAGTAATGAGGCCCTTCAAGCTATCTCAGCGATTCTATAGGCTGAACAGGAATTTGCCCTGATAAGGCTGCAAACAGACTGACAGAGACATCAACTTTCTTTGCTCTGGGCTAGAATTATAGCAACTCAGTATGGTCACACCAGCTATCTCATGCTGATCAGAAGTTCTGATTGGCAGTCACAGATGGGATTAATGAGACATGGGGAAGCTAATCACTGCTTCATAAATGCACTCTGCATGATGGGCAACAGCTTTTAAGTCTCTGAGAGAGAAAAGAGTGTAAGAGGAGTCAGAAAGTAAAGAAGCTGGACTCCAGGACTTAGCTGTTCCCTGGGCAGCAGCCCTGCTCATGCTTCCCTGGCTGCTAACTGCTGGCCCCACAAGATTCATTTAACACAACCCCCAATCCAGGTGTCTTCTCTAGCTCAGCCTATATATTTTTTTTGCTTCTGCACTTCTCAGGCTTGCCAGGTTGCAAAGTATTTCCCAGGAAGCATCTCCAGTGCAGCAATGCGGGCGCGTAAGTTTCAGGAGGTCCTCAATGTAAACTATCCATCCATGTGTATGACTCACACATCAAGAACTGAGGTGAAGCCTGGTGGTAGGGTGGGAAACACCTGGAATCCCAGCAAAGGGATGCTGCCCAGTGAAGCAAAGCTGTGCTGTGATAATGAACACCATGCCACTCAGGGCTGCATAGCTAGACTCTCTCAAAAACAAAGCAAGCTTTAAATCAACAAAGGCTTTCCATCTTTCTGATGTTTCTTGGCGTTTCTATTTCTTCATTCAACTAAATGCACATTAGAAGACAGACAGACTGGTAGAGAGGAAGCCATTCAATTTAGCCTATCAAAATCTGAGGATTAGAGACTTGCTTGGCTGGCAGCCTAGGAAGGCAATGGTTGGAAGAGCTCATGCGCAAGAAGTCAACTTAGGAAGACGAAGCCTGTAATGCTTGACACATCTCTCAGCTGATCTTGGGCGGCACTTCCTCTAGGGCAAAAGAGACAAGCCCTCACAAATTTGAGAAAAACAGACCTGGTTTCTCAATTCAGGAAAAGAAACCCCCCCTCCTCTTCTCTCTCCCCTATCCCTCCTTCCCTCCCTCACTCCCTCTCCATCCCTCTCTCTCTCTCTCTTCCCCCCTCCAGAAGAAAGGGAACAATCAAACCAAGGTGCTGACATGGTTAACAGCAGCAAAGCCACTGAAAGGACCGAGCAGGACCAAAACCCACTTGATAAAGCAACCTCAGTGTCTCCTCAAAATCCAGACCAGTGCCAGCTGCGCAGCGGTACAAGAGCATGTCCTCCAGAGCCTTTATGGAGGCACAGAAGCTTGCTTCTGCCAGCCACTGGAGATGTAGCATTAAGCCATACTGGACATCCCTTCACACAATGGGTGAGAGAGAAGTATGGCTGCCTCCATGCTGGCTCTGTTCCATTAACTCTCTTCTTTCCTAACTCTTTATCCCAGAAAAGGTCACCTAAGCTAACCTCTCTACCCCCTACCCCAAGGCTAAGAATTAGGCAGGGAGATGCTATGTTACTGTGAGGACCTGAGTTCAAATACCTGGAAACCCTACCCCCCCACCCCACCCCCAATAAATTCAGGCATGGTAGCAAATGCTTCGGTTTTAGTTCCTATGAGGAATATGGGAAGCAGAAGCAGGAGAATCCCCAGGAGCTGGCAGGGCCGGTGAAGATTTAAGATTATATTCTCTCTACACCCAACCCATAGTACACATGAAGGTACGTGCACACACACACACACACACACACACACACACACACACACACAGCACACAAAGACTAATCAATGGACTGGACATCACTGCAATTAAGAACAGGAAACTCAAGAGAAAGTGCTGGGGCATCATTTCTCATTAAGATAGAATTCCCATTCACTGAAAACATGTGTACTTGTCATACATGAAGAAAGATTACATTAGATCCTGCTGCTCAGGTTAGTGCAGTGACAAATATCAATCACTTGTTTCACTTTAACCGGGAGGACAGGCAGGACCATGTCAGAACTAAGAGGGTCTCATACTGGCTGGTAAAGTAACACAGACATTGCTTCTGATCAGAGTTAATCACATAGCTCCAGCTATATGCCAGGGATTGGGAAGTGTGAGGTAAAACTGGACACATGGGGAGCACCAAGTGAGCCCAAGATGCTGATTCACGTGGATGACTTAATCTCTTTCCTGCCCCATTCCCCAAATATCTGTATTTCTCTGTTAATTTCATTCTGATGCATTAAAAATCAAATAAAAGAATGATGTATGATACAGTTTATGAATTTCCCCAGTTCACAGTCCTATGTACCTCTCAGCTACTTTTTATTTAAACTCAGCCTCTACCTTGGGTAAGAAACAATGTGAACACATTTGCTATATACCATCTCCATGAGTGAAAGATGTATTTTTAACTTACTGAAGTTCCTCATCTGAGTTCCCCAGAAACAGGATAGACAAGGCAACCAGCACCTTGGTGCTCCAAAGGACTGACTCTCCACCCAACCACAGCCTAAGAGAAATGCTTCCAATGCTCCTGCAAAGCTAAAACTAAAACCAAATCCAGAACCACCAGCACCATGGCAAAGTTACAGAGACCACTATCAAGACACAGTATAATCTTTTAAGAATTCTTTTCTCAGCACAGTGGGTGCCATCACTTTGTGAACTATGTTAATAAACTACCAGGTTCACAGGAGCACTTTCAGACAATGCTCCTATGAGGGTGTACATATCTACCTACTTTAGACCATGGGCCAGGTTAGACAGAACACAGAACGTTCAACTAATAAACATTAAAACAAGGCTGTTCTATGTAGCGCATGTGTGTGTGTGTGTGTGTGTGTGTGTGTGTGTGTGTGTGTGTGTGTGTGTTAAGAAAATACTTATTTGGAACGATGATGAAAATTCATAGGCGTCTTTGACCTTTGAATACTTAAATGAATGTGTTTCACTCATTTCTGTGGAGGAAGAAATGGAACAAGGATATCTGGAAATACAAGAGGATAATAAGGCCTTCAATGAAAAGAAGGTTGCGAAGAAATGTATTTTTTCAGTCAAGATGACAAACCTGAGTTTCAGAATATAAAAGAATATTGTGCTGTATTTCTCTATGACAAACAAATAAAACAGGCAGAGAAGAATCACCCTTTCACATCTATAAAGAAAAAAAATGCATCTTCCTACCCAATGTAAACACCCTAAAAGCTTGGTCAATGGCTTTTATATTAAGTAAGAAAAATTAAAAAAAAAAAAAACAAACCAGTTTGGGGTCATCAGATAACTATAGTAACACAATGTAAGAAGACTTTTTTAATGAATAAAAATACATACAGAATTTCTTGTATGTGTAGCCAGAGTATCAGCATTTTCCATATAGAACATCCAATATTTTGCTGCATTTTAATTAAGGTGTCTAAACATTATCACAAAGAACTGCAAATTGGTCAGAGCATGCGGTAAGGAAAATTAAGCTCTAAAGGCTTTTTATCACCATATTTCAGGAACCAAGGGTGTAAAATGTTCTAATTTGGGATATATTAAAAGCCATAAAAGGTCTTTCAAAAAGATTAATGGTACTTTGCTTGGATTTAAGATAAGGGCTTTAGCTGGTTGGAAAAGCAGGGCCCTGGCTGGACCCTTGAGGCATTCATCTTTACAGCCACTTGGAAGATTTGTAAAAGCGCCTGCACAACCTCAAGCAAATGCACCACGACATTTTTTTAATTCCTTTCAATTTTACAGGTTCAGTGCGTGTAAATCATATTGGGTCGTAAAACAGATATAATGGCACATCTTTATAAACAGTGCAGATTAAAAAACTTCAAAATGAAGTTAGTGCCTCTTGCAAATGTTGTCATAAAGTTTCCTGATAATCATTTGCAGCATCTGATTCCTACAGCTTAATCTAGCACAATTACAAACTGCTTATCCATTTTATAAAATATTTTAGTCATCTCAAAATTACTAGCTTGTAACAGAGTTATGAAGTTTGCCTCCCTTTTGAACACTTTCAAGGCACTTATTTAAAAATACCAATTATCATACTTTAACTTTTTATAGAATAATAGGTCTCTATGAAAAATATTTATGCCATTCTCTTTTGTTCTTTAATTAAATGAAAACAGATGTTTTCTGAAGTAAAGCGGAACCATTACTGGAGTACTTAAAGTGTTAAGGTCTTTAATTTTTATATCAGTTTGGTCGACAATTCCTGATTGTCTTTACTCAAGCTCAACATTAATGTCAAGCAAGTTACCTAGGAGACGAAAGAGATCAAAGAGACAAAAAACCCTCCAATGTCTGATTAATCAAGCCTGCAAACAGCTTATTTCTTTTAGCCTGCATGCAAGTATGAAAATGAGATTCTGGGAGCCGAACATTGTGCAGATTTGTTCATTCTTATCAGAACAAAGCCAGCGGCAGCTTATTTCATGGATCATTGGCACTGTCATCAGCGCTACACAGAACGGTGACAGCTCCTCATTTTGAAGCTTGAACAAAATTAGCAAAAAGTCGGCACAAATTAGCCTCTCATCTTTTTAGTAATATGACATTATTCATTTACTTTTTATCCAATTTTTAATTTTTTCCTTGTCAGCTATCCCTTTCTAGTGTCTCTCGCATGCCATCGTAAAATGCCTTCTGAAAACAACCAAAGACACAGTCAAAGTTGAAATAACATACAAAGTTCAAGAGCAAAGAACAAGCATTTCCAATAGCTAGTTCTGCTGTGTTTTAAAATTAAGTTTCAAACTTTGCAATAATTGATTTTTAAAAACAACTCAGGATGCCAGTGTATTTCAAGAAAGGATGTAACAAGGCTAATAAGTTTCACACAAACCCCAGCTTAAGGTGGTATCTGCCGTAGTCAATGTTGCAATAGTCTTTCTTTCCATGGTTACACCTGGGATGCCAGTGTTCCGACAACAGTCCAAGCTATGACGCAGCTCGATCAGTAGAATTTTGAACAAAATTCTTTTCTTTGTATCTCTGGCATCTTGTTTCAATGTCAACTTGAAGTGCTTGCATACACAGGCTGACATGTTTGCCTATGATTGTACATTACATTAGTGTCTAGAAGTACCACCAGATACATACTTATACATACATACCTATAACTCCTGCCAGTTTATTTTAAAGCGCAGCCAACAAATCCTGATTCAAAACACATTAGAAAGAGAGATGCATATATACACATATACATATGCATACAATATGATCATACACTCAACTTTGATTTAATAGTGAAATAGTTTATATAACACCTGCTTTAATAACTTCAAATTATACATACATTACAACATTCCAAAAGCAGAAGGAAAAGATGTTACACTGTTGAAATTACTCCTGGATATTGACATTTATATTCAAACAACTTATTCTATTCATAAAGGGGAAAAAGGCATTAAAAAATTAACCGTAAGCTGTTAGATGCTTTACACAGCCCCCATAAGAAAGACAGTTTTCTGAAAGAACTGTAGTACTGTTTTCAGCAATTTCTTTATCTCTGTTCTTCTAAGTAAGAAAGCCTATTAACAAGCTTTGAACTTAAAATCACATTTACAATAATGTGCCATCAACAGTTTTATAAGCTAATTAGAAAAAGATTAATTAATGACTGGCTGCTAATAAAATGGCAATCATGAAGAAAGAAACCAAGGGTGCTAAGCTTCAACTACCACCAATTAAGAGCTAATTACAAACAAATTATATATGTGTTTTGCTGTGGGCTTTAATTTACTAAAATGGTTTTAATTAAAAGAGAAAACATGCTGATTAATTGAACTGCAGAAAAAAATCTACAGTATAAACTGTGCTTTGTCTGTCTCTTTAATTAGACTTGTAACATCTGAAATCTTTTTTAAGGTTAGTTAAAAGCACAGATAAACATAATTAAGACAGCGCATAAGGAATGCCATTCGAGGTGAGCACCCAGCCAGACCCCACAGGTTAAAAGAAAGCATCACAATGTAATGAGATTAGAATGAGCACACCTGAAAACCACAGAGAGATGCCCTCCGCTAAACACCAATTTTACTCTTCTGAGGTCAACATGCTTTGACTTCGAAGCTGCAGGGTTTTTTATGGGAAGAAAATATCTTTAAACCAGGTGTAAAGGAATTCATCCAGGCCTTCTCCCACAGGGTCAGACAAGCTTAATCCATGCACTGTGCTAAGTTCATCTACACGTAACTAACAACTGAATCACTTGTTAGAGTTAAGCAGAATAAGGCTTAAAAAAAAAATAAAAAAACTACCACGTTAAAGCCCCCACAGCCAGCTATGTGCAGACAACAAGAGGATAACGGAGAAATGTCTGAATTAAACAGCACTGGGAGAGACCAAAGCTAATGAAAGGGAGTCCTGGATGACCCTCAGCAGACACGTATGGCCCCAAGGAGAGGGCTTGCATCTCCTCTAGCAGCTGGTAGAGCTGCCTAGCAGCAACAGCCCACGCCTGAGAGGGCTTGTCCTCCCCAGTGCCCTATCCTCCTTCCTACTGCCAATACACCAGTGACATATACCAAAAAGAAAATGGTACTAACTGTACCAACTACTCTAAAGGGAAGTAAGTCAAGCAAGAAAACATCAGGACTGGAAGGCAGAACAGTATTAAATGCATTTTGTCAGAGCCTGCAGATATCCACAAAAAATGACTAAGTAAAACCTACCATCTGCTTTTAGAGAAAACTCATGGTTGACAGCATTTATCAAACACACCACTAAGTGCAACATCTCCTCTCCATTAAATACTGGTTAGAATAAAGATATGACATTTACTTTCAATATGAATATGTATTATATATACTTTACATATTACTTAGAGTGTGTACATATATATAAAAATATGTACTGTATTTTTACCATTTTACCCACTCTTCAGATGTCAGAAATCACAATATTTATAACTACAGAAAGAATCTGCCCTTCTTCAGCAGGGCTAGATGATCCAGCAACGAGTTTTCACTGTGGCTAACTGAAATATACTTACTGCTCAGCACTGTATCTGAGCAGTTTTAACCTGAAAGCTTGGTTTCAGGATATTTCTTCCCAAAAACGTACTCATGAAAACAGAAAGAGAGCCACTCTGCCCTGACACTAGACGGGTGGGAACTGAAGTATACCTGAGGAATTTATGTAGTTAGAGGAGGGGTAATTCATTTGAGGGTGGGAACACACTGTTTTGTGGCCAAGTGAACTTGGTTTTTATCTCCACAAGCTAACGGAAAGAGGCTTAGAGAAAAATCCTTTTTACTAAATGTGATAGTTGTTCCAACTGCTGCCCACTAAATTAAATTCAGGCATTAGCACTGAATTTCAAAGTATTTGTTTCTACAGGTCTCTTTAGACTGAAGTGGGCCTTATGATGAAGAGAATGAATCAGAAACGACAGCAGCTGAGGACGAGGGTTAAAGAGGAGCAGATCAGCTCAGCCCGACACGCCCTACACAAGAGTCAACGCATCAGTCTAGGTCTACATGTCTATTTCTCCTTAGAAACTGCTGAAGCACTGAACAGGCAGGAGGGGCAGGAGGGGCGGGAGGGGCAGTCTGAAGCAGCACAGCAACCCAAAAACACAGCAGTTTCAGCTTAGACACAGACCTTAAGTCACCCCCTTCCCCCAAACCAGAGTCCACACAAACTTAGTCATCACAAATTGGAGGGACACGTTTCTGGGAAATCATGTGGTTGCTGCCACACAATGAGAGCACACCAACAGCCTAATTTTGGCGTACACTCTTTGACGGCTGTTTTCAAGGTCTATTCACAGACGTGTTCTACTTTTAACTTCCTTTTTCTCAAAATTGATGCTGCCCTACTCGCTTCACAGGCTTTTAAATGTTAAACATCAAAATGAGCTTCACCTATGGCTGGAAAGGGTTTTAAGAACTCTGGGGTCTGTGCCTCTGAGCAAAGGCTTTATCAGCAGGTCCCAGTCACTGCTCCTTGAGAAAAGCAAACGGTGCCGTTATTAAAAACCAATCTACCTGAGTTTCAAAAGGACACCTACCATGCATATATATACTCTATTCATAAAAGGTTTCTGCCCCAAACTCATACTTCTCTAAAATCCCATCTCATCGTCACAGAATATGAGAATCTAAAGTTTGCACCATTCCCTGCCAAAGCTCTTCCTGACTGGACATTCTTCACAGGTGCTCAAAGGGTAGGCACAGCACGGGCTGCCTTTCTGAGTCTGTGTCAGAACAGCAAACATGACCCAGCTGTCCTTTCAATTATCCAAGATATAAACAACTGGTTTTTCTTTTAATCAGAACTCCTTAAACTCACAATAAATCATTTGAATTTACCATAACACAGCTTTACATATGTATCAAAGTAAAGGGACAATTGAGAAAAATGTTATTTTCACATGTGCTAAAAACAGTATTTCTAAAGCAATCTCATTTGTCATAGAGTATTATAGGAAAGGACAGATCTTGAAATAAAACTCCTAGTCAGTATTATAAAATTCCAACTTCTAAAACAGCAAGATGAGAAGACATCAAACTACAATATCAGTGTCCTCAAAGAAATCCCTATTTCTAAAACACTGGAGGTATTTTTAGGTAGTCAAACATGTATACAGCAAGGTAGCTCCCAGGGTGAGGGTGGAATTAATACAGCAAGGCTGGAACAGAACACACATGGGGTGCCTTCCCAACCCGTCACACCATTTGGGAAATTATCCAGGTTCATGAGATTGGATATGGATTCAGAAAACAATTTACAATCCTCACACGTAAACTAAACTAAATTTTAATCTTCCTTTGCCATGTAAGGAAAGTACTGTCAAGTGGAACTGGAGGGATGGCTCCAAGTTAACACTTGCTGCTCGTGCAGAGGCCTAGACTTCAGTTCCCAAAACCACATCAGGCAGCTCACAAGTACATTGAATTCCAGCTCCAGGAGATCTGATGCCTCTTCTGGTTTACTTGGGCACCTACACTCATATGTGTGTTACACACACACACACACACACACACACACACACACACACACTATTTATTTAAGTCAAACGTTGCTTTAAAGATCTAAACTCATTTGGCAACCACAGTAATAGCTTCCCTACACAAGAAAAGAACCAGCAACAGACGCTGAAATAGGTCAAAGTACAACTAACAAGGAGAGATGTGCTAGTAAGCATTTATTCATCACAGGGGGGAAGACTAACTGCACAGTGGAGAAGCTCAGCGGTATCACCCCATCAAAGTAAAACTATCAAAAAGTGGCACACACAGAGAGATAGCACATGCCTCTGGAGAGCCTGAGATCATGAGGAAACACTAGACAAAACAAAACTGAACAGTGAGTACTAGCTGGCTTCTCCTCAAAAAACAAGGTCTTGAAAACGAGGACAGAACAGCTACTCTAGATCCAAGGAACACTGCAACAGAGTGCTGAGCTAGAGAACAGGAAATACCTTTGTTAGTGTGAAAATGAATGGAATAAATGCAAAGTTAAATAGTGTGTGGACTAATGATAAAAAAAAAGTTTTACAAATTTTGCAACTTACTTTAAAAAAATTAAATTCCTTTGTGTATGTATGTGCACACCCACATCATTTCTCCCTGTCTATCATTTGGTACCAGGGATCTAACTCAGGTCCCTGACTGAGGCAACCTGTAGACCCTTTTTTTATTTCAAACTTGTTTATATGTGTTTGTGGTATGGATACGGGAGCATTCAGTGTGGGAAGACAACTGTGTAAAGCTGGTTTTCTCCTCCCACCTTCACATGGATCCCTGTGACCAAGCTCTGGCTGCTACTCTTGTGCAGTAAGCACCATTACACACCACATCATCTCCCTGGCCTCAAACTGCACAACTTCCTCAACAGCAAATGAAATAATTAACCCTGCTAAAAGGAACCCAGAACCTGTAATGCAACAGATGCTTCTCTGCAAACTTCCCCTGGTTTCAGGTGGAATAAACTATGCTCTGCCTTATCCTTTCTCCCAGCAAGGTAAACAGACAACTGACTGACAGATGGAGGGGTTCTGCTGTGGCAACTGCCTTTGTAGTAGGAAGAGGTCACGGGACACAATGCTTGGATCCTCCAAAGGAAGGATGCATGAAAAGGCAAGAGAGTTTGAGTCCTATAATCTTTAAGAGTGCAAGGAAGACAGACACAACATTTCTAAAAATCATCAAGCAATCACACACTAGTCTTGCTGGTTTTTCTTAAGTGTTGTCTTGGGCTTCACAACAACTATACAACAAGTCCTGACCAGCATCCCAAACTAATATGAAGCAGCCCTGAAACCTTCCAAGCCATTCAAGAGACAGCTGGTGAACAAGTAGCACAGGGTGAGGTACTTCCTCAGTAGACATACAGGTAAGCACCAGCCCCCTGAAAGGCCTCACGGCGGATCCACACTGGGCTGCCATCAGCTTCTACACCCACAACTTGGGAAGGGTGCAACTCACCGATTGGCTACTAGTGCCCCGTGTGCTTTCCAGTCCTCAAAAGCCTCCCTAGATCCTATTCTTCCCCACACCCACCCTGATGTCCTCCTGAATCTGAATCCTTACAGCCAAACCTGAGGTCCTGTCCACAAGCACTGCTCCTCCCCACCATGCCCTCTTGTTTCCATGGCCAACCTGTCGAAATCTGCAGATGACATTCACTAATTGGTATAATCTTGTTATCTCAGCAATTAACTATACTTTTAAGAAACTAACAGCACACCTATGGCTGAGTTCCAAGGATGCCCCCCACACACATGCACACAAGTTTGCTGAGTGAAAGCACAGACCGGGACTCATAGGGGTCTTACTCAATAGAAGCCTAGATAACCAACAACTAACAGGAAATACCTTCAAGTTGATTTTATTAAATGAACTTTATATTTCCCCTTCAAAATTGTGATGAAATACTATTTGTTATATCCACACAAGAGCTACATTTAATCAAAATATGACCCCCCATTTAAAAAAAATAAGCAACTGTCAAACTGTAAGTATAAGGAACATCAGAAGATGGTAAGAGTAGAATGCCTTAAAAGAAAAAAGCAAACAAGTATATTTCATAGTTCGGCTACAAGGAAAACCTGACAAAGCTTTGATGGCTGTGCTGAGTCATAGCATCCTCACAAATTAAAAACATACCAAATGCCTGACATGCATTTATTTTTTCTTAAATAATGCAGCAATTCTATTTACACAAAGGGAGGTCAAACAGGGATTCAAACAGATGCTAGTATACTCATGTTCATAGTAGCATGGTTTGTAATAGTCAAACAGTGGGAGCGCTGTCTACCAGCAATTAAATGTACAAACAATGACACAAATACCCCAAATGAGACAGGTATCAGTCTTGAAATACAAGAAAATTGGACATACATTACAACACAATAATCTCTAAAGACGTTATGCCAAACAAACTACACCAGACACAAAAGCATAAACATATGATTTACATGAAGCACCTACAGAAACTGAGTGCAGAGGTAAAGTGGTAATGTCAAAGTAGGGTGAAGAGAAACCTGCAGAGTAAGTTAAAGTTGTAGAGTTTTGGTTTTGCAAAAAAATTCTGGAGATGGGTAATGGGAGACTCTGCATAGCAGTGTGAGTGTGTCTGATGCAACTCAGTGACACACTCAACGTGATTACAAGCATAAATTCTACTGACTTTACCACGATAGAACAATTCATAAAATGTCAGAGTTCGCTTTGTTTGAAATAGTGTCTCACTCTGTAACCCATGCTGGCTTTGAAGTCACAGTAATCTTCTTGCCTCAGCTTCCTAAGTGCTTGGATGAACCACCACACCCAGATTAAACTATCAACATTTTTTGTTTTTTCAATGCCACATAATTGTCATCATGCTATTTCTAGCCAATGTCCTTAATACCCGTGGCTCTGTACTTTCTTTTATATTAGCTACTAATATACATGTATAAAAATTATACATTGCAATATTTAATGTGACCAATTACTTTTAAAGACTTAAAAGAAAAAAGACATTTCTGAAATTCTTAAATCTCTTATATGATTTTGGAATCACCAGTCTTCAGTCTTTCTTTTGAATCTTTTTACTCCATACATAAAAATCCAAAAGATATTTTAAGGCCTGCAGACAAAAATTCACACACAAAAAACCCCACAATGGCCACAAATGTTGGGGATTTTTAGACAATTGATATGGAAGAATGCAACAGTATTTCCATAGAATACTTTATGGAAATAGAACTTTCTAACTTCAGATTGGGGGGAAGAAAAGCAAACAAAACAAAAGCCTGCAAATGAGTTAGAACACTAGAAAGGGCCAGGATTTTCATAAATGAACTATGATGGGTTTTATGTGACTTAACACCAAGGAGTGTTAAAGGATAAGAAGATAGGGAATCAGGTACTAAAAATTAAAACTAGGATACGGATTTTCAAGTTTTTTAGTCTACAAAGAGAAAGGAACCATAGAACAGGAAAACATACGAGGTATGAGTGATAGGTCTACAGGACCCCCCCACCTCCAAAGGTGTGAATCTTTGTGACCTTCTACAGTTGGAAATGTATCTATTAGTTTTATACTATACACTATGGGAGAATTAGGTGAAAACCCATAGGACTGAGCAGTATCTACAGAATCTACAATAAAAGGCTATAAACAAGGGCTAAGGAAAGGCTGAAGGGTGTGACTGTCTAACACACAGCTGCCCTCAGTGAGGATCAACTGAGCAAGACAGAAATGGAAAAATGAAGGCACCCTTCTAATCACACTTGAAAAACAATACCACCCTCAAACAAAATAAAGCGAAAAAACCTGCTGAAGTCAGGTAAAACTGGGGTCAAATATCAATTATGCATAATTTTCAGCTTAAGTTTTAGACCAGAATAGATTTAAAGCACCAGAGTCAGCACAAAACCTATCTTTTCAAAATAAACAGTAGAAAGGGAGAGAAGAATAAGGGCAAGAAGAAAATCAGAATCAGTCTGACTTACCTCTCGAGTAGCTAGCTGGTTGCTGAGCTCTTCGGCCTTTTCAACATCCCATTCCTCCACAGCCTGGTCTATCCTCTTTTCAAGGCCTGACTAGAAAGAAAGAAAGAAAAAAAAAAAAACAAAGACAATTATGGACAGGAAAGAAAGTCAATCACTTGCTAACTAAGACTATGTCACAGCACTATAGCAAATGCAACATCATTCAGCCCTCTCAATAACCCTATAAAAGCTTGCATCGATCCCCGATTATCAATAAGACATTTCTGAAACTTTCAGTGGCTAATAAAGTTTCTCAAATTTCACAAGTTAACAGTAAAAAGGAGATGCAAATTAAGATGGGGGGGGGTGTTGGGGAAGTCCTGTGCATTTGTCAATAAAGCACTGTCTGGCCAATAGGGAATCTAGATAGGTGGGACTAGGAGTCCAGGAGAACTCTGGGAAGGAGAAACACAGGAGTCGAGATGTAACGCCATGGGGTAGGAAGCCCGGAAACTTCTCAGGTAAGAGACATACTTAGATTAGCAATTATGGGGTAATTACTTAAGTCAGAGCTAGCCAGTAAGAAACAAACAAGGCCAACAGCTTCATAATTAATATAGCCTCCTGTGTGTTTATTTGGGACTGATGCGGCTCTAGAACCAGGCTGGCGGGAAGGCTCCTCTCAAGGAAAAAGCTTCCCTTTATGGGGGGGGGGGGTAAACCAAAGATTGCTATTCCCTAATAACAGCAATAGTAATTAATTACAGAAATGGTTTAAAATTATGGAGTACTCACCACATGGTAGAACCTAGGGGCTTATGATACTAAAGCTATCACTTGCATCCTTCTAAAAGCTCCACGAAATGGTAGCTTATTTGTAAGAGGTAGAAATAGCCATAATTTAAGCAACTTGGCTGACATTAGTCTATGAGCTGTAAACCCACCCCACATTCAGGTTTGTAAAAAGTCTGAATTCTCATCTATAGCCCACTACCACAGCTTAACACTTTCACTAATGAGCCTTTTGCCATCTTCAATGGGCTTTTATGCTGACTATATAGAGAAGAAAGCAACAAATAATTCTTGTATCCTCCTATGGAAATACTTTAATTTACTAAAACTACTTCAAGAAATCAAAATTATAACTGTCATGAATCACCAAACTAGATAGGGCTCATCATGCACTTATCAAAGGACACCCTGACATAAACAAGGTCTAGCTGTGAAAAGTTACTACAGAACATCAGAGCTTTAAGTGGTCTAATAGGACAATTTTATTTCTAGTGACTGTCTCCTATTCCTTTATTTCAACACAATGAATCTTGGACCTCATACAAACTTCCTCCTTCTTACATAGGAGCAAAATGCTAAAAAAAAATCTCTTCCACCAACTTCATCATAGCAGTCAACAGAGGAAGATTTTGTTCCTGAACTGTTGTTAAAATGAAGACTCTTATTAACTACAAGATAATCCACCAAAAACCAAGCAAACAAAAACTTGAAGCAGAGGCCACTGGGCACTTCACTTGATGTCTGGCATAAGAAGACTCCTTTATCACAATCCCATCTCAGAACTGGGGTAGTCAACTCAATTCCCATAATAGCTGGAGACCTTCATTCAACTATCTGCCCTATGACCCTAGGATATAAGACTCTAAAGCTCGTTTTCTACTCTTGTCGTGTGTGCCTATAGAAATGGAAGATTCTTTCCCAACCATTTTCGTTTTCAGGAAGCTCTAACTCTTCTACTCCAAGCCTGTGTCCTCCAACTGAGGTCTACGGACCGGCTCTTACATGCCAATAGGGCAAATCTACTAAAGAAATGTTTTAATTTACTAAATTTACTTCAAGAAATCAAAATTTTAAATGTTATGGAATTACCAAACTAGGTAGGGCTCATCAAACACTTTTCAAAAATGTATTATTCGGGTTGATGGAAAACTAAGGTTCTTGTGCCCGAATGCAGATCAACTACCTAGCTATCAGGTTTATCTAGATAACTCTTTCATAGTCTCATCTTTAGCAGTGCTATACTTCCTAATCTCTGGCCACAAGTGCCATCTTATTAATGTTCCTAGTGCCTCTGACATACTTCCCTTAAAAAAACCAAAACAACAACAACAACAAAAAAACCCTTCCCCATCTTTTCAGGCTCACATCAGGTATCACCCTACTCTGTTACCTTCTGACCATGGCACCTGTCCGGTGTCCCACACCAAACTGCTCTCCTGTCGGCGTCACTGAACTTCATGCCCCCTTCAGCACTTGTTCTCCTAACCCTGTCTTTCTCCTCTCTTAAGGTCTATGCAAACTCTGTGTAAAGTCACTGGCCTGGAGCATCCCCAAATCCCACCCGTTCTTTCCACACAGGAGGCGCTCACTCAGCCTGTACACCACACTGAAAGCTGCAGTGCAGTGATTTACGTCTGCATTAATACTGAAGGAACCCACCTACACTGACAGCCCCGGATAAGAATTCCACAATAGTAACACTGAGGCAATGATGTCCTTCCAGTCAAAAAGGGATAGCATATGGTCATGCTTATTCATACAAATTTATATGCAATAAATAAAAAATGTATTTCTTGGGGATAGACCAATGGCTCAGCAGTTAAAACACTGCTGAACTTCCAGTGGACCCAAGTTCAGATCCCAGTACCAACATCGAGCGGCTCACAACCACCTGGAACTCTAGTTCCAGAGGATTTGGTGCTTCTTCTGGCTTCTGTATTTCTTCAGGGCTCAAGGGTATTTTTATCTTGAGCTCCCCGAGTGTAGTATAATTAGAAGTTTATAGATTCTCCATTTTGAAATTCATGTCTAATCTATAATGGAAATGAAGCTATTTATTTACAAACTGCTAACACAATAGCCTTTACTCCCTTTGCAGAACAAAGATTTTCTCAAATGCCTCTGAGACAGATGAAGTAAATATTAACATCAAATTTAATTTCTTATATCACAACGTCTGAGGTAGCCAGATACCTCAATTCAGTATTTACCCAAGCAATCACCTAGACAGCTCCACTCTTTTCACCTTAGTAACCTGCCCACTAATCCTCTCTTAAGACATGAATATTATGTACACAGTAGCTATGCTCCCTTCGAATTTCCTAGGCTTCTTGAGATTTTAAAGATCTGGGTGCTGCCTTCCTGTATACAATGCCCAGAGTAATCCATAGATTCTCAGACCTGGGTAAGTCCACATATTAAACCATTCTACTGAATTGACTTGTTACTATCCCTCTGACACATAGAGCTATCTAGCTCAGCACTGAATGTCACAAAGGGTTGGGAAAACTCCCCTATCCCAGAAACTCTTATGGGCTGCTCACCTTAAATAAAGACGAAGTTTCACTTTAAAATTAAATGAGAATGGGGAACATCTCTTAGCAAGTAGTACTGCCTCAAATACAGGAAACCCTGGGTTTGATCTCTAGCACTGCATTAAATCTGGCATAGTGGTGACACATGCTTGTAATCCCAGCATTTGGTAGGTGTATACAGGATGATCAGAAGTTCAAAGTCCTTGAAGGTCATGGTGTTGCATGCCTTTAATCCCAGCAAAGGGAGGCAGAGGTGGGCAGATCTCTGTGAGTTCAAGGCCAGCCTGGTCTACACTGTGAGTCTGTTTTCTTCGTCCATACAATGCTGTTGTCTTTTTCTTCCCTTCACTTTTTCAGTTTTGTTTTGATACACAGTCTCACACTGTACCCTAGGCTGGCTGGGAACTTACGGCACTCATCATGCCTCAACCTCTAGAACAGAGAGTTTACAGGCAAATCTATGCAAGATGCCTAGCTCTGAATTTTTTATTCTATTTTGTATTTATTAAGAACATATTAGCAGTCTAAATGCATTCAAAATTCTTATAAATACTCCCATCACCATAAGAAGATAAGTTCACAGCATTCTGCCAAAAACGCTACTGAAAAAGTCAAATGAAGTAGAACTTTCATTCAGGAACTAAGTAATCTATGGAGGGTATCCAAATTTCTACGGCTGCAGTTCTTTCATTGAAATCAAGTAAATATAAAGCCATGCTATCTACAAAGTGATGATTAGGGTCAAGAAAATACATGTAAACTATCAGCCAGTATTTAGAACACAGTAAACACCTAGTAGTGTTTAATTGTTCTCATCTCTAGTATCAGGTGACTTTCAGGTAAGGTTACAGACTTCACCTTCTCCAAGTATCAAGAATTCAACTCTGGGCAAGTAAATTGCCTCATCAAACAAGACTTATTCTTATTTTTTTATTTTTATTTTTATTTTTTTTGGTTTTTTGAGACAGGGTTTCTCTGTGGCTTTGGAGGCTGTCCTGGAACTAGCTCTTGTAGATCAGGCTGGTCTCGAACTCACAAAGATCCACCTGCCTCTGCCCCCACCTCCCTAGTGCTGGGATTAAAGGTGTGCGCCACCACCACCACCACCACCACCTGGTATCAAACAAGATTTAAACAAGATTTAAGTATTCAAGCTTTTCAAGAAGGTCCCAAAGTAGTTTCTGATTTACACGGGATTTTACCAGAAGAGCAGCAGGAGCTGCAGACCATGGCTGACAGCTACAGTACCTTGGTGTACTCTTCACACTTTTTTACTTGAATGAGAATTAAGGGTAAAATATATCTCAGAGGACAGGTATGTAAAGGAATGACAATTTAGCCACAAGTGGAAATTTTAGCTAAGGGCACTACATAACAGGTTCCCATAAGACGACAACTGACCTGTAGTCAATAAAGCTGTCCTGCAGATGTCAAGCCAAGCAGGTGTGTCGGATGGGGACTCAACCCACATGTGTACCTGAAAGCTCTTTATGTGACCAAAGTTCTTTACGTCCAACAGCATCACAATATATTTCTACACAAATCTCAAGGCTAAATGTTTATTTGAATAATATATTCAATCTTTAAAGAACAATAAAAATAAACTACTGATTGAAATTTGCCCAATTATGACTGAATTTAAATATCCAGAAGCAAAATGGGACAATTTCTCCATAAAGAACAGGAAGGAAAAACATTTCAATACAAACATAAGATATATATTATACAAGTCATATGTGATGATTTTATTATTTTATATATAAATCATACAAAAATTAAGTAAGTTAAAAACTAAACTCATCTATTACTTTAGAAAAAGTCAGATTGAGGACCAAATGACTTGAGTTTAAGGTCTTATATCTTTCCTGCTGTTTGCTTTTTAAGGCAAATACACTAAGCTGTTTCTGCATCTATCAGGAGATTAACACTGGCCCTCCCTACAGAGATGGCCATGGGGAAATCACAAGAAAACATTGTAACTAATATCAGGAGAACTTCGGGTACCCCAGTTCTTCCCAAAACTCTGCACCTCCCTCCCAATGCACTCAAGGCAGCCAGGTTTTGATGTGATCTGTATACTGGAGTTCCACATAAAGATCTAGATGGAAAAAATACTCTACCACAACAATAGAGCAAGTTTGAAAGCGCTATTCTATGCAACAGCAGTTGAACAACTTAGTAAACAACTTTAAACAAACATTAAAGACAGTAATTCTAAAAGAATAATAAAAGTACCTGTAGTTTTCATACTAAAAGTATTCATTTGACATACCCAGGACTATTACTTCGATAATGACTGTTTGACTGCTACCTAATAAAACTGAGTCAACCATAGGATATTTGAGACATTTATAGTGAAATTAATGAGCAAAATTTATTCTACAGAAATTCCCACACAGATGTAAAATAATTGCTGATTAAAAAATTATTAATAAGCTCCATTAACTGTTGCCAGAAATACAATTATAGCTATATTTAACAGAAAGAACACCTTAAAACAGTGCTGGATATTAGGAAGACTATATTTTAAAGAAACCCCATAAGCCTCTCTGTATTGTCTGGCAGGCAGGTGACAGCAGTGTTATGATAACGCATTCTGGGCTGAGCAACAGTTTCAGCTTGGCAGGACTCCAAAGGTGGGTGTATGATAGACATGAGATTAAGAAGTTTTGTTTTGCTTTACTGTTCTTGAGGGTTGAGTGAAAACAAAATAAAAAGACTTTCTGATATTGAAATAGATCAGGCCTCTACTCCAGAGAATAAAACGCTAGACTGGAAATCCATATTTGTTTACACTGTACCACGTGTCTGCATGGTAATACCAGATTCCTAACTATCTGTTGAACTTACAGTTATTCATTGCTTTCATTATGGTGTCTCCAATGTGGACATTTTGTTTTTGCTTTTTAAGTTTATTTACTTTGCTGGACTCACAGTAAAGACCTTGGCAGAAACATCATGTAAAAACCATGATCCCAACCTAGACAGTGAGTGCAGAATTACTGGCATGCAATTGCACTCAACTCCCAAGAGAAGCTGAAATAATTCAGCTTTACTAAAGCCTTCCTTTCCTTTCATGCTTGCATTTACTTGTAGGATAGTAACTGCTGGCAAAATATAGGCCTGGCCATCAACAGTTTCCTTGATTAGAAGACCCATAGCTTTTTTCACCAGGTGTCATTTATGCAGAGGAATAGCTGCAGGAAAAGAACCCAAACTTACAAAATGGATGCGCATACGATCGCAGTCAGACTCATAGCAATTCCTCTTAAACAGAGTTCGTACTTTCAACTGTTTTGACTTTTCTAGAAAGGATGTAGTGCACACTGAGATAAGCTGCTAGGTCCTTAGATGGAGTTCTTCAAATGATACTATGAAGAATCCTTGTAACTCCACAAGAGCTAGTCGTGTCTAGCCAATATTCAGACTATACAACTTCAAACAATAGGGTAACAACAGGATTCTAGTAGGTTGTAAAAAAATTATTCTCTAAATCTCTGCATTTTAGAATGTTTACAAAGTTGATTTCATGGCTTCAATGTCTCTTATCAATTAGATACTCTGAAGCCAATACTGTTATGAGAAAAGATAATAAATATTGCAAATAACTGAAAATCAAAGGCCATTTAATTCACAGGTTAAAAAAAAAAAGAGTTGAACAAATACTTAATCATTCATGCCCAGTAGTTCTCAAACTTCCTAGTGCTACAACCCTTTAATACAGTTCTTAATATTGTGGTGCCCCCCCTGCATAAAATTATTTTCATTGCTACTCCATGACTGCAATTGTGCTACTGTTATGAATTGTAATGTAAATAATACAGTTTTAGGCAACCCCTGTGAAAGGGTCATTCCACTCCCAGGTTAAGAACCACTGATCTAGTCGGTGGCTAGGACTCCATAACGGGTCTACCAGAGATAGCCCATGGCTCAGGGCAGTCAACAAGGTCTTCCTCCCTGCTTCAGGGCAGACTTGGCAATCAAGAGCCTAAGTCAAAGTCACATGACCTGTTCCCGGCACACATGAATCACAAGGGTGAAGATCATCACAAAAACATGTTTGGAAATGCACTACCTTCCACAGTGAGTTGAGGGAACATCAGCATGGTATCTTAAGACTCAGAATTTACTTGCAACTCTACCAATGTGCTTTGTAGGAAATGTATTACTTCTGTATCTGTTCAGTAGTAGGTGCAGAAAATGATCCCAGGCCAAGTATCCGGTTTTATAGGAGTCATTCTGGAATTAATAGTTCTTTGTACAACTGGAGAGAAGAAGCCACATGAGTGTGCTGTGACTATAATCCCAGTCACAGGCTGAAGGACTGAGATAAGGAGTTCAATACTAGCCTGGGCAATAAATATAACCAGGCCTCATATCAAACACAACAAAACTCTAAAACACATCACATACAAAATTCTCTTGAGAAAGGCCCTTAGTTTACATCTCCACAGTAAGATATCACCAACGAATTACAGATTTAGTGAGAGGTTTTTCACAAAAATACCAACCCATCAGAAACTGGCAAAGGTCTTTGGGTATACTGGGTAGTCCTCAGCGGTGACCCATGTAGAGGTATCTCTAAAGCAAGCACAGGATACACAGGTTCACAGGCTCCACTAGCCTCCCCCTAGGCCTCTAACCCTACCATGGGAACACAGGAGTCTCTCACTCGTAGGCTCTACCAACACCACTCCCCTCCCCACCATAAATATGTGCGTTATTCCTTAAAGATCTTTTCTAATTTCTAAAGAGTAACAACTACAACTATATACCTCATGATCAGATACTGCTCTGAGCCCCCACCTCAAATTAGAGCAAGTATTTACTTTTTTTTCTTGTGTTCTGATTAACACTCATGCCCCAAACTGAATTCTGAATAGCTTCTACTTTCAATCTTTTCTCTTTCTAACTTTTCTCAACTTTCTAACTCGCTAGAGGAAAAACCTGAGAAACGATGCGAAGGCAAAGACTACCAATTCTACTTTCACATCAAACCCTCACAGCAGCCCACTCCTCCATCTTCATCACCACTGTCAGTATTGTGTGCATCTTCATCACCACTGTCAGTATCGTGTGCACACTCCGCGGTTTTCTCATTTACTTTCACATCATCATCTATCCTCCACTAACAGTCAGGGGACCTTTAAATCACAAATTACATCAAGGCACTCGCTTAAAAGCCAAGTGCGCCCAAATGAAGTCCATTTGGCTCTCTGAAGTCCACTGGCTCTGAAGCCCCACCCAGTTTTGACAGTTCTGTAGGATTATCTTGAGTCTTGGGCTAGCTACCCTGTTCCTCATAGACTCCACTCCAGCCAGTCTAACCTTCTCACTAAAAAACGAACAGGTCTCACATTAACCCCTGCTGTGGGATGATCCTTCTGTATGCTGTGAATATGTATTCCTCTCATTGGTTAATAATAAAAACTGCCTGACAATAGCCCAGCAGGATAAGGTTGAACAATTAAACTAAGAACTCACATGAGGAGGGGCAGAGTCGACAGACATGCCAGCCAGTGGCCAAACAAGCAGGATGTGTTGAAAATGAGGTAAAAGGGCCGGGCGGGGCAGTGGTGGCGCATGCCTTTAATTCCAGCACTCGGGAGGCAGAGGCAGGCGGATCTCTGTGAGTTCGAGGCCAGGCTGGACTGAAAGCCTCCAAAACAATACAGAGAAACCCTGTCTCATAAAAACAAGGAAGAAAAAAAAAAAAGAAAGAAAGAAAAGAAAATGAGGTAAAAGGTCTTGAGCCACAAGGCAAAACATAGAAATATGGGTTAATTTAAATGTAAGAGTTAGCTATTAGTGAGCCTGAGCTATTGGTAGAGCATTATTAATTAATAAAAGTCTCTGAATGATTCTTTGGAAGCTGCTACAGGACAGGGCTGAACAGAGAAACTTCGGTTTACAAACTCCTCCTGTAGGGTCTTCACCTGTGACTCAGTGAGAGGGCCTCTTTCACCACCCAAGGCAAAAAGAGTGAGGCCCTCACAATAGTACTTTCACAACTTAGACTTCTGATTGAGTTTTAAACTTAGTATCTTCTTTATAAAGCATCTTTTTGGAACATAGCAAGATGTTTTGTTCTAATATGAAGCAGTATCTTAGGTAAGGTTAATCACAAATATGTCCTGCTAGCCAATATATAATGGAATAGTACAAAAATAATAAGATGGTTCTTACCTTCTCAACTTTTTTCTGCTTAACAGGGGGTTCAAATCTATCATTGGCTCCAAAATACTGAGTAAGCTCCTTCCACTGGGTGTCACTTGAGGACTGCTCACTGTGAGAAGACAAATTAAGTCTGTGTACACAAACTACGGCTCTATTTACTTTGACTGTTTGTAAGTGCCCGCAATAACTATACTTCAATGACTACTTCTCATGTCTGATCATTATCAAGATAAGTAGTGCAGCAATCTACAAAGTTCCACAACACTGCTGAATAGTAACCATTTTAAATTCCACCTACCTGTGAGATTCTTTTTCATTTTTCAGTTTGCCTAAAAGGAATTTAGAATACTTAATTATTCAGTCATTATTCCAAAATCAAGTTTTAAGAAATTTGGTTGGGGGAGGAGGGAGGGAGAGGGAGCTGGGATTGACATGTGAAACAAGCTTGTTTCTAACTTAAATTTAAAAAAAAAAAAAGGAAAAGAGAGAAAAAAGAAATTAACTCAGTCAATTTAGAGTCAGTACAACTAACAATCTAAATTTAAAATAAACACCTTTTCTGCAGCGTTTTCTTTTTTTCTGTTTGAATCTTGATGCTGAATTTTTCTGCTCAGAATGTTTTTTATGCAATTCTTGAAATTTCTATGTAAAAAAAGAGAAGGCAAGTGTGTGTGTGTGCTGGAGACAACCATACATTCTAACAACGAACAGATGTATTGAGTAAAATCCTTGTGCTATACCATTTCTAAAGTCACCAACCAAATAATTCTGCTCCTAAGATACTCCAGTTGTCACAGCTCTCAGCTGACTGCGATATTCATTGGTTATGATACAAGGTGTTTGATAGCAGAGAATGAAGTTCAGTGACTCACAGTTAAATGGGGAAAAAAGAAATAAACTAATTTAATATGTTAGGCAAAGTAGAACAGATAAATTTGTTGTTCTTCTATTTATGTAAAACTAGAATCAAAGTGTCCAAATGGCTAAAAGAACAGTGAACAGTATTATGAGCCGCTTCTGCTATCTGTTTTATACCAACATATTCTGCCCACCACACAGACACAGAGAACACGTGCACATATACACAAGCACACTTTCCTAACAACACAGAGAAAACCTACGTTCCACATGTTCAGGGGAATTCCAGAAGGACACTTTTCATATGCATCTGCATCAGCCTCTGTTTCAGTTTCTGGCTTGCCTGCTGGGAAATCTGACATTTTTGGGTTCCTACTGCTGTCAGTCTCTCCATCTTCCTGTAAATTAAGTTCTGGATTCTCTAGTGTAGCTTCATCTTCAGAATCTGATTCAACATCGCTTTCATTTAACCCAGGAGGTAACAGACCACTCCACATCTTTTCTTCTAGAAGGAGAAAGGGAAAGATGAATTCAAACTCAAATAGTAACCACAAAAACTATTTCAAAACCAGGAGACCAATATGTTTACCAATGATCTAGGAACAGCCAATTTATACTTTCTAATCTAAAATGAGCTGAACCGTCCATATAAAATAGCTAAAATCAGTTGTGTTAAGTTGAAAAAAAAAGCTTAAAAGTAACTTAACAGTTTAAGCATGTTAACAACAAATACCTCCAGAAAAAACTGAATACTAGTTTTCTAAAGTATGAATTATTCTGCCTAAGTGAAACTTAGCAAAGCACTCACGGCTCAAGAATGCCAAACACTCAACAATACACTCTGTAGGAATTTTTAAATTTTATCTCGACAGGGCCGTACTCTGGAACCCAGGCTGGCCCTGAACTCCTGAAGACCCTCCTGCTTCCGCCTCCTGAGCGCTGCGAGTGTATGCAAGAAACGTCACAGCCAGCTTAGGGCTTAAAATATCGTGCTTCACGTTGTACCTATTAAGGGACGAAATAAAGGTGGGTGGAAGCATCGTCCAGACGAAGCACACATAACTTTCAATGGGCTGACTCTCCAAGGAGCAGGGTAGCAGCTAAGGAAAAACTGTAAGTTGTATACATGTTTTAAAGGGTACAGAAGTATGGGCAACAAGATGGCTCAGCAAGTAAAGGCATTTGCTGAGTCCCATCCACACATGGTAGGTGAAAGACAACTTTTGGCCTCCACCTCTGTGTATGCAAGCACACCCATACACAAAGTAGGTAAGTGTAGGAACACTAACAGTAAACAACAGGTTTGGTAGGTGAAGAAGATACCCTAGTTTTACATTTTACAGTTTGCTAAAACAAACCAGAAGAAATAGAATTCTAAAATGTAACAAGCACACATACTTCTTGAATAACAATACTATATATATTTGAGAAACAAGAAATTCAGTACAGGATTCTACACTATTTGTATAGTCCACTGGTATAATCATTACGTTTCATGAAAATGACTTTCAGAATTAGTGTAATCATTTCCAAGATTACAAAAATTTCATTTGATTTTGACAGTGTGGACTACCTTTTTCATACAACTGAATTCAAAACAGTTACAGCTCTCAACAGAACAGAAAGATGTCTTGCTGAGTGTCCTGCCCTATTTCGCAATTAAGCCAGCAAGAAAACCAACCCCATTCTCTTCAGGTCACAGGTATTAAGGATCTTTCATTGCTCTGAATTACATATTTCTGCTTTCTCTTAAGGACTGCCTCTCAGACTTAAAGAAACAGGTTTATTTTTGTGGGGGTTTTTTTTTTTTTTTTTTTTGGTTTTTATGAGACAGGGTTTCTCTGTATTGTTTTGGAGGCTGTCGGTCCAGCCCGGCCTCGAACTCACAGAGATCCGCCTGCCTCTACCTCCCGAGTGCTGGGATTAAAGGCGTGCGCCACCACCGCCCGGCTATTTTTGTGTTTTTAAGCCAGGTTCAGCAGAACTTGATTTTCTGAAACATTCTTTTGGCTTGTTAAAAGGACCCCTCTAGTCTCCTGACTCCAGTTCCAGATTCCAGTTCCACTAGAAGCATAAGGAAATCACTTAACAACTCTGACTCTCAGTTTCTTTATCTGTAGCACAGGAGACTCACACTGGCTAGTCTGAGGATGAAGTGAGATACTCAAGAGTGTCCAGGAGGTTCTAGGGGTTCAATAAATGTTTGAATGTTTGGTGCTGAAAACCTGTTTTTCTTTTAAACAAACTTGAACTGTGCATCAAAAAACAAACGCTCAGTGGTTCTTGCTATTATTTCTTGGTCATGGAATGCATTTTTATCACCCCTAATATGGATAGGAGGGCCCGTAAAAAACCTTTGAAGTTTCTGATATTTGTGGTGCTTCATTTATCAACAGATACAAATCATGTTCCTCCACAATCTAGCATGTCTATAAATAACCTGGTATTTGGCCTCTGAAGAGGGCAATAAAACAAGAGGCAGACCATTAATGGAACTCAAATATTAATGCTCCTTATTTATACAGGACTTCTCTAATCATTGTGTGTAATTTTCTATCCAGAATTTATGTTCAACTCAAAGTGAATCCTCAAGTTATATGAACCTGCATCTACCCCTAAACCTGGTCTGTAGGTTTTCAAAGTTAGGATAAAGAAAACTCTTAAGATGCTCGGTAAAATATACCAGCAGGGATAGCAGAGTAGTAAAGTAAATTCTCCAAAACATCCTTAGGCTCATTATGCATTTGAGGACACTAAAACTGTAACACACTTGAGACATTTTTAAAGCATGCTTAGGCCTACTATACAAAGCATGCCCATGGCATTTTTCACTGCATGCTAGATATTCTCTAAGAGCTTGAGAACAAAAGTACACAAAAACAGGACAGCATCGGTAGCCTCACAGAGCAATGTTTACACCAGGGCAAGATGTCATTCAGCCTGGACAGTCAATAGCATGTGCCACCTATGAGCAGACCTCTGCTTTAGTGTGTCTGGAATTTTCACAATCTACACTCTGGGCTTCCAAATGTGCACTCCCATAGAGAGAAGTCTCAGTTACCCTACGCAAGTTATGCTTTTCCTTATCAGTCTTCAGGCAGCTATCCAATTTTCATGGCTTTCTGAACTTTTTTCAAAATTACTTTTATCTACTGCTGATATGGTATCCAAAACTGTCCTCATTTCAGCATTTTTCTAGCTTGATAGTTTCTTAAATGTACCTGAAGAAGAAAAGTTAAAAGAACCTCCAAATTCATAATACAAAATTCAAATAAGGTATGTTTTTTAGTTCAGTCCTTAATCTTTAGCCACACACGTCAGTCTCCTGTGATATTGGAGGGTGGCACAAAAGAAAAAGGAAACATAAGAACAGATGTAAGGGAGATTCGGGTCTCTGCTGATAAACTCAGGTAACTACTGGCAATAAGTCTGCAAGACCAAGCTGCCCACTGAAGCAGCAGCTCAACTGCAAGCCAGTCAATACAGAGAGGCTGGTGGTGATGCCTTCCGTGAGCTTCTGTGTGAGGCACTGGCTTCCTATTCCTATCAATATGTGTCACGCATAGTTTTCCAACTGGCCTTCTGTTACTTCTGTCTGCACTTCTCTGAAGGGAGATTATTTCTTTGAAGTGTCTCTTTCATTCCTTTCAGGATGTTCGTCTATTTTAAGGGAGGAAAAACCCTAAATTAGTCTCTTAACTGAGAAAATTCACTCAGCCAGTCTCAAAAGATGTGGAATAATAACAGACAAACAGTCAATTCTTCGACGTAGTAGATTATAGCCAGGCACATAGCACAGCCAATGAGTTAATCTGTAGGCTTTCAGTTTTTAGCCTGTAACCCAATAATACTTAATTTAATCATAACTGCAAGGAAGATGTAGATGAGCCATAATCCCCCTTTTCTCTAAAGTTTCAAATATCACCTCCATTTCATGCGGTCATCACCACTGCAGTTATGATTTAGCCCACCCTACAAACTATTTTGTGTACAACATGAGATACATCTTCTAGTTCTGAACAGACACCATTGCCATGAACTGAATGTGCTAAATAAAGAGGGTTTCACCCTCAAAAAACAACCATTGCCATGGTGAGCACAAACCGGCAGAAAACAATGCATTGACAACAGAGTAGTTCAGCAGATGGTACTCTATGGTTTTTTCAGTTTTATAATGTAAGTCCCTAAGCTAACCTCAGTATTTTATTTTAAATCAAATTATAATCCCCCATAGCATATCATCTTGATAAGAAAACTTAAAACCAGTGAAACATTATCCTTCGCTTGTTACCAGAGATGTTTATACACCCCGTTTTCATAAATAAAAAAAAATTTAAGGTTTAATGAATATCATCTCATCTCTCAAAATACAGAAAATATAGATGTCAAATCTCAATAGTAAAAGTTGTAGCTTGTGACAGGCTTGGAATTCAGATGACTTCCAGCCCTGAGAGGGCATTGGGTCTCCATCCTTACTAAGCTTTATTCAAAGTGTCACACCAGCTACCACTGAGATGTCTTACGTCTGTAAAATGTTTATAATCTTAATGTTGTCAAGTGTGCCAAACGCCCCAGAACTGCCTCACTCTTTGATGTAATACCCTGTTCTCCCCTAAGCATGCAGTCTTGATTCAAGTCCAGGAAAGGCAGTTTCTCTCCTCTACCTCACAATCCAGTCAAGATTACCAGCTTCTAGAGGCTCTGCACCCAGGCTACTGAAAAAAGGACAGGAAACCCAGTCGCAACAAAAGACACAAAAGCGGTAGGAGAAAAACAAAGCAGGCCATGTCACACATGGCACACAAACCAAGAGGCAGGCATTAATCCTCATCACAACACTCATTAGAAATTAACATCAACCCTTTCACAACTGGCCTAAATCATTGTGATCCACTTATTTTACAAAGGCAGAGCCTGGTGGCTTTCAATGATGTTCTTTTTAGAGGGCAAAGTTGGTGATGCATTCTTGAAGACAATGATTTGGGAGAAGAGCCAAAACAATGATTCTAGGCTGTAATTATAAGATTGCTAAAATAACGCACTGATTTTTTTAAATACAGCTTTTACATATGAAAAACCAGGCAAGATATTACGCTAACTAACATACTGAAAGTCACACGTAAAAGTCTGAGAAATGTATTTTCTGGACCGCCCAACTGCTTAAAAGCAATGCCCACATGATTAAAAAGCCTGAGCCTCTCAATGGATAAGCATTTCCTGTCTCTAATATGACAGAACGTAAACTGCATTTTCACCAAATGACTATACTTTGTATTCATTTTAAATCACAGACATCTAAATTTAATCTTATTTTAAGAGCAATTATAACCGCCATCTAACCTGTAAGACCACAAGAAAGCACTTATTTAGTTCATGAGCTTAAAAACTATCAACATCGATGCAAATGTCTCAATTTACTGTTAGGAAATGGGTTCCTCTTTCTCAAAACTGCACAGAAAACACACGGGGATCTCAGGCCCGAGTTCGGTTCTGTTTCACATGAACTATTTACTTAGCGGGATTTCTTTTTGCTTGTTTGTTTCTTTTCTTTGCAAGAGAGGGTGAGCTTGAATCAAGACAACGTGTGTTTACAGCCAAGGCCCGGAAACTACGTTTTCCCCCACCACCCCAGAGTCCCCCTACCTCGTGTGCAAAGATTCACAAAATTACGCGCGGGTGCAGATACTTACAGGGTTCAAGACTGCGACCCGGGGTGGCTCGGAAAAAAGGTCCACCTTCTCCGAAAGCTGACAACCTGGAACTCGGCGGCTCTGAGGGCCGCGCCACCTCCGGATCTCAAAGCCGCGTCAGGATCCCCGCCGGGACGCCCAAGTCGCCGTCCCCGATGCGGCAGCACACTGGGAACCTGCCCGGCCCCTCCTCGCGCGGCCCGGGTCGGCGCCGAGCGGGGTCTGCCACAGCCGAGTTTTCCCAGCCCGCTTCCGCGACCCCGCGGAGGAGCCGTGAAGCCCGGCCGCCCAGACTCCTCCGCTGCCCTCCCTGCCCCCGGAACCCAAGCCCGACCGGCCGCCGCGAAGCCGGACGCCAACTCGAGCTGCGCGAAGCCGAACTTACCGGCCGGGAAGCGGCGGCTCAGCAGCCATCTTAGCACCCCGTCAACATCGCACCTCCTCATTGGCTCAAGCGGCTCAGCCAATCGGCTACGGCCGTTCTGGTTCTGAGGTCGCCAAGGCAACAGCCTGGCTTGCTCATCTATCCCCCCCAGGAGGAGGCTGTGTTTGTTTGTTTGTTTGTTTGTTTGTTTGTTTGTTTGTTTTCCCTCCATTTCCTCACTTTCTCCTTTGACCCAGCAGGTTTTGGTTTCGGCTCTGGTTTTTTTGTTGTTATTGTTTTGTTTTGTTTTGTTTTGTTTTTTAGCTTTGGTCTTTCTAGCTCTTTGCCTGTGCTGGTGCTTCTGGCTGAGGAAAATACTGACTTCGACACTTACTGAATTGTTGTAGAAGCCCTCTTCAGGGAATGTTTTCATTCATCAATCCCATTTCCTTTCTTGGATTCCTTGATCTCTTTTTTCCCCCTTTTTTTTTCTTTCTTTCTTTCTGCATATATTTGAGTGTCCACTGCGACCCAGGCCTCATGCAATTCTCAGTCTGATTCCTGTTCTCTAGGCACTCACCATCTGGTTGATGGAAATCCAGCTGAAGCACCCCTGGTCAGAAGTTTGTTTACTAGGTTGGGGAACATTGTAAAGGTCCTGATGAGAAACTTGGTGGTGTGCAAATGACAAAAAGATCGGAAAATATCACCACGTGAAGACAATAAAACCAGGCAGAGAGACCGAGATGAGTATAGGACTACTTCAGAAGTGATTACGTTTTCTGAAGTATTAAGTATATGTTCCTATTTTCTGTGGTAGTTATATGAGAAAATACAGGGCTGGGAGGTAGCTCAATCAGTGAAAAACTTGCCGAGCAAGTGGGAGGACCTGAGTTCATTCCATCCCCAGAATCCATATCTTAAATAACCTGGGGTAGTGACCCGTGCATGTAATCCCAGCACTGAGGAGGCAAATAGGCAGACTCTTGGGGCTCCTTGGCCAACCAGACTAGGCTACTTGGCAAGCTCCAGGCCAGTGAGCACAAAAGACAGGTGAATATCCCTGAGGAACTATGCTTGGGAGTTGTCTTCTGGAGTCTATACATGTGTCCTGGGACATGTTTGTTTGCACATGTATACACGAGATACAAAACATTTTAAACAAGCTAAAAAAAAGTAGGGCAAATTAAATTTTGAAGAATTTATTTTAAACAGCTGTGTCGTGTGGAGTAGGGCTATGATCCAGTCAAGTTCAGAGTTCCACCAGTGAGCAAGCAATCTCTGCAGATTTAAAAACGGAAAAGAAACTGATATAATAGCATGGTTGGTCATATCTGGGCATTTAATTTAGATCAACATGGTCTGATCAGCTGTCACAATGACTGACTAAAAGTCAGCTACTATGATTTGACTAAGACTCAGCAACATGTTGCAGGAATACTAATATACTCGTGAATTAGGCTGAAATACAAGGTATTTAGCTATTCAAATCAAAGAGCTAGTTAGCTGTGGGCCAAACAGTGTACACATTGCTTAACCCAAAATAATTTTCACTTGTTTTTTATTTGGTTTGATTTTTCCAGACAGGGTTTCTCTGTAGCTTTGGAACCTGTCCTGGAACTCGCTCTGTAGACCAGCCTAGCCTCAAACTCACAGAGATCCACCTACCTCTGCCTCCCAAGTGCTGGGATTAAAGGCGTCAGTCACCACTGCCCAGCAATTTTCACTTATTAACATTATCAACACAAGCCTTTTAAAAATATTCTGATGCACAAAATTTTTGTTTGTATTTAATAATAAGAAATTCATATAGCATTGAGAGGTAGTTAATCCTATTGCTTAAATAGTCATGCAACCTCCAATATTTCCTGGAAGATAGTGCAAGATTATGAGGTGGTAATGTGTCCTAATTTGATAAGTTTAAAAGACTGAGTTTCCACCTCAAGCATCCTGTGATTTAGAGAAATGCAAAGCTGAATAACTCAAGGATTCACATGAAACTCTCCAGTGACAAGACTGGGATTTCCTTTGACTCACATCCTTAAAATGTAAAGGAAATATATAAAACTGGTTTTGTGTGCTGATATATTATTTGTATTTATTGAAGCTTGCCTGAGGATTCAGAAAGCAAAGTCAGTAACAAGTCATGGAAGTCAGGCACACACCTTTAATCCTAGCAGCTAGAAGCTAGGAGGTGGTGGTACACACCTTTAATCCCAGGACTCAAGGTTAAGAGGTAGCCAGATCTTTCTTCAAGGCCACCCAGGGATACACGAGATTGAATCCATCTAAAAGAGTAACAGATCACATGCCTTTAATCCCAGAGCTAGATGGGTATAAAAGATAGAAGAGGGGTCTTCATTATTGAGTAGGAAGCATTGGTTCTCTAGCCACACTTGAAGATAGGAGAGATTCATTCTCCAGCCACCTTGAGGATAGGAAGACATTGAAGTTTTAGGATTCTCCAGTCACACTGAGGAGAGGCAGCAGGATCAGCCCATTCAGCCTGAGGTGGTAGTAAGAGCTAGTGGCCCACTACTTTGCTTTTTGAACTTCAGCTTGAAGTTTGAACCCCAGTACACAGTCTCTGGGTCCTTTCATTTTTTTGTGATACCGTTTTGTAATTGTCAGCATTGAGAGGCTTAATTGTGCTATTCTGTTGTTAGCATAACAAAATACTATAGACTGAGTATCTTAAATAATGCATTTTTCCTGCTCTAGATATTGTAAAGTCTGCTTGCATGGTGTCTTCTCTTGGCTTGTAGGCAGCTACTATCTATGTGTTCTTTGGAACACAGTTTAGGAGAGCTCTCTGGAGTTTTCATAAGAACACTAATGGTATAGGTCAGGGACCCATCCTTTTGATCTTATTTTACTTAACTTACTTTGCTAGAGGCCCCATATACAGATATAGCTGTGTTGTGGCTTAAGGCTTTGACATGAATTTGGGGAAAGCACACAACTGTCTAACCCATAACAATTGCTAAAGGCAGAAATATGGCCAGAACAGTGAGAGGACAGGGAGAAAAGTCATAGCATGGGGTGGAAAGAAATTATGATGCATGTTTAAGTATCTGAATTACTTCTACACATATTCCATTCACGAATGTTCATTATTTACTGCATATTACTGTACATTGGGTAGAAATTGATAAAAATTTCCAAAGATTTATGACCATTAGTTTATATACATTTTACATGTACATAATTACATTATATTTCCCCAATATTAACATGAAATTCTTAAATATATACTTATGACACTAATGAAGTCTGATAATAACTCAGAGTTGTGTTCTGCTTCAAATGGTAAGACTGTCAACTTCTGATCTTATGTTTTGCAAGTTTTCTAAGGAAAATGTCAGTTATTTGATTTATCTTAATCAATAAATTTATCTTCACTCCAGAAAGTTCCCATCCTGGAAGCCTGCCAAGCCATGTGTTTTGTGAATGAAATACTTGTATTTTTGAGATTTCAGTGAAACATAGGATTGTTGAATACTTTTTAGTAAATCATAGTGAAATATACCATACAGCTAGTGAGTTGTGCTGGAATTGGATTGCATCTGGCACTAATTTCGAGCATGTAAGTTTCATTTAAATTCTTCATATCTTCAAAAAGACAGAGCTCTTTTTCTTTGCTAAGGAACACTAAGGTTTATGAACAGTTCTCCCTCATATTTAATATTCTTAGTGTAGAGATTACAAGTCACACCCATGATATACAAGATTAATTGTGGAATTCTTTTTTGGTGGCTGCTAAATCTCTGATTGATGGAAATGTTCTCCAAATATAATGAAGTCCCCCAACTATTTCTCATTTGGATAAAGTGAATACAACTTTGTTGAACATGTAATAAATGTACTTCTTGCTGAAACTGAGAAAGAATAATTAACTTCCTTCTATACAATGTACTTCTCTTTCAAAATTACAAAAATATGGCCTAGCGACTTAGGTGAAGAAATTGAAACCAGGGATTTCTGAATTTCATAATTGGGTTGCTATCCATCATGATTGGGAATTTATAATTTATATGAACTTTATTTTACATTTTCAGAGTAAAACATATATAAACAATGTTAAATCTTTCAAAAATATACCTAACTAACAACACTATGACATCAAGCAAGAATTTACATTTGAGGAAAGAAATTTTCCATAATATAGGGAATTGCTGAAGAGGAGCAGCTTTTCCTTAGTGTCCATGTCTAGTACTCTCAAACTCTTCAGGTCTGATGGGGAAAGACAGCATAAGAGAGATATTTAAGGAGTATTTGTGCACATTTATATTTTGCCTCTAGTGTCTTAGGCAATCCTATGAGGTAGATATGGGTGCATCACCTTTATAGGTAGGAGTTGAAACAGCTTGTCTAATGCCACGCACCCAGGATGCGCAGAACCAGGACAAGGCACACAAAGCTAACAGACAAATACAATGGGCTCACTGGACACTGAGTCACTGCTTCCCCCCAGTGTTGCATATTGCCTCATGGGGGGGGGTCCTTAATAATCTTAATAATCCCAGGGCAGAACAGTCAAAGGGTAGACATCTGTGATAACCAGTGAAATGGCATAACCAGTGGGGTCTCATGAAAAGAGAGGCTTTGGTGTCCTTTCTCTCTCCTTCCCTATCACCATATAGTGAGTGATCTTTACTGTGTGTCTGGTGCCATCTCCGTCTAGGGGTGAGGATACAGAAGTATGTGAACGGGCTCTTTAAGCTTGGCAGGGGTGAAAATGTAAGTAAATTAGATAAAGAGGAATGGGGCACGCGGCTGAGGAACATCAAGCAAACAAGTATTGAGTACTAGGAACAGCATGATTTGGCAAAACCATAAGAATTTGGCTTAGAACTAGGATGGTGATACTCATCTGTTAGCCTAGAACCTGGAAGGTGGAGGAAGAAACATTGCACGTTCAAGATCATCTTGGGATAAATAGCTGAGACCCTATCTCAAAAAAATATTCTTGGGTCAGACTTGGAGC